TCCACCCCCCCTTTCATTTTCTACAGCCACCGATCACCGTATATTCATATCGAAGCTTTGCGGTCTTAATAAGATTAATCTTTCTTCCGACTAATCGTCGGTTTCCTTAAATTTTAATTCGAAAGAATTGACCGACTTGCTGTAGCAAGTCGGCACTACCAAGGCGGGACAGTAAAATTTGCTCCTTTTTAGTAGATAAAAAATCAACCAACTATTATAGATTAATTATTTTTATATCAAAAGATGCACCGTATTGAGTTTGATACTAATCAATTAATCGAATTTTAATTCCAAGTTGTTATTCTTTTATTGTGTTGAGTTAAAGTAATAAAAATAGTACTTTTGATAATTTTTTTTCGATTTTACTATTGAGTATATATCAGAATTGCCGCGTATATATTAGAATAAGCGAAGAACACGAAAATCGGACTTTTATTTAAACTTATCAAAAGAATACGTGCATCACTACTAACTTTTATTTAATAATTAATACTTTAAGTTATATAATATAAAAAATCTTTTATTTTCGATCTATATGACGTTTTTTTAAATTAAGGTTGTAGTTATTAAGATATTTGCAATAAACAAGTAAATTTGAATTATTTAAGACAGTTTTTAACTATTTTTTCATTACATTTCAATGTATTAGATTACTACAAATAAATGGGTTTTTATAATTTTAATTCAAGTTTGTAAAGCAAAATTTTCTAAGCATATAAAGATTTTTTTTTAAAAATTTTCTTAATAATAGTTGTTGTTTAATAAGTGGTATACCGTTACTGTCCCGCCTTGCTGGGTATCCCGCCTTGGTGGTGCCGACCTGGCTGCGCCAGGTCGGGATTTTTTACAAATTAAATTCAAGGTAACCGACGATTACTCCTTTGTATTCGGCGCTCTTCCTTTGCTTATTCTTTATAGCTACCGATCACCGTACATTTATATCGAAGCTTTACGGTCTCGATAAGATCGATCTTTCTTCCGATTATTTTTTTATTCGGCGAGCCCTTCCTTTTCCTTTCATTTTTTATAGCTACCGATCATCGTATATTTATATCGAAGCTTTGCGGTCTCGATAAGATCAATCTTTTTTCCGATTATTCTTTTACTCGGCGAGCCCTCCCTTTTCCTTTCATTTTTTATAGCCACCGATCATCGTATATTTATATCGAAGCTTTGCGGTCTTAATAAGATCAATCTATCCTCCGACCATTCCTTTGTATTCGGCGCTTCCCCCCGCCCATTCTTTATAACCACCGATCACCGTACATTCACACCAAAGCTTTGCGGTTTCGATAAGATCAATCTTTCTTCCGACCACTCCTTCGTAATCGGCGAGCCTTCTTCGCAGCTACTCGCCACGGCCACAAATCAAACTATTCTCAGCGGAGCGACATCTACGCCGCTTTAGCATTACGATCAATATTTTTTTCGATCACTTTTTACTATCGGCGACCTTTTTTTATATTCATCCGCTACGATTATCGATTATCGTACATTTACACTCGGGGCGGAAGCTATACGAGCATATACTACGGTACAAGCGTAATTGTTACCTTTCGAAGGTGCTTTGAAAGTTTAATTTACACTTTAAAACCCTTGGTTATTCTACTTTCGAAGGGTAATACTTACGCTTAAGACGTAGTAAAATCAATATTCTTTTTTTTTATTTTCGGCGGACCGATATCTGCGCCGTATTAATCTTACGATCAATCTTTTTTTTTCGATTACATTTTATTTATTCTCGGCGGACCGATATATCCGCTTTCTTTCTAAATCCTTTCGGCGGACCGATATCTGCGCCGTATTAATCTTACGATGCATCTTTTTTTTTCGATTACATTTCATTTATTTTCGGCGAACCTTTCTTAACATTCATCCGCTCCGGCTCTCGACCATCGTATGCTCACACTCGCAGCGAAAGCTATACGAAGATATGCGATCAATTTTTTTTCGATTACTTTTCTTGTTCTCGGCGGACCGATATTTCTCGCTTTTTCGTGAAGTCTTTTCGGCGGACCGACATTCCCGCTTTCTTTCTACATCTTCTCGGCGGACCGATATCTCCGCCGATTCAATGCTTTTTCTATTGTTTTTGCGGACCGATATGCACGCGAACCGATACCGTATGCACGCTAATTCGTTTTTCTTTTTTTATAATCTTGTATTTCTATTTCGGCGGACCGATATCTTCGCCGATTAAATTGCTTTTTCCTTTCTTTTTGCGGATTAATACGCACGCTATTTTTTTTTTCTTTTTCAATCTTTCATTTCTATTTCGGCGGACCGATATCTTCGCCGATTGAATTGCTTTTTCTATTGTTTTTGCGGATCGATATACACGCTTATTTTTTTTTCCTTTTCAATCTTTCATTTCCACTTCGGCGATCCGATATCCCCGCCGATTCAATGCTTTTCCTTTTTGCTTTTGCGGACCGGTGTGCACGCAGATTAATATGCACGCAACCCGATACCGTATGCACGCCATTTTTTTCTTTTTTTTTATTTCCGATTCTCATTTTCATCTCGGTAATCCGATATCCCCGTCGTCTCGTTTCACATTTTCCTTTTCGAATACTTTCATTCTTAGCGAACCATCTTTTAACGAAACTGTTTTCTCGACCGCTTTTTTGTTTTTCCGCTTTGATGATATGATATGTTTACTTGCGGGCTGGCGATTGCCGATTACTTTTTTCGCTTCTTTTCTTTTTATTTTGCTTTCTTTTTCTTTGTTTTCTTTTTGTTTTTTCTTCTTTTCTTTGCGGACCGATGGCTTGACGCTAATAGGTAAGAGAAAAGGTGTAGCTTCGGCGTGTGGTTGATCTTTTTTTTTCTTTTTTTCTTATATACTTACTTGTATCTTGGGCGGGGCTGGCTTGCGACCGGTCGCGTGCTTAGGAGCGGAGAGAGGAGATTGTAATAGTAGGTGGATGGTTGGTTGCGTTGCGTGGGGCTGGTTGCGTGGCTTAAGAAGTGGAAGGTGGGGGGGATGGGAGATAGAGATGGAAATGGGTATGGGTGTAGATGTGAAGATAAGTGTGGGTGATATTATAAAGATAGGAGATAAGTCGATGCATACATAGAAAGATCGGTGGATAGGCAGATAGTGGAATTTCAAGTACGTACTATTACGTCGTTCTACCACTTCTTTTTGGTATTACTTTTACATATGATGATCTATCGGCTTAAGCTCAGCAGCTAAGAGAGCAGGGCCAGGCAGGGCGGGCGGGACAGGCGGGACAGGGCGGGACAGCTGGCCCACACACTCACACGCACATGCACACGGACACGGACACCCATGTACCTGCACCACCAATCGACGCGCCGGCCACAGATTCCCTCCTTTCGCTGCCTACACACGCACACCCACACCCACACCCACACCCACCCACACCACCAGCCACGAGATTCCTGCCTCCCTCTGACAGCTCCTTCTCCGCCTCTTCTCCACCACTTCTCCCACCACCTCTCTTCTCCCACTCCCCACCTCCCACGCTACCTTCCCCTTCTTTCCTCTCCCTCCCCCTCCCCCTCCCCCTTCCTCTCTCGCGTCGTCGTCACAAACACCCAGAGACTCCGCAACCCATTCACGTGAAAACTCACATCGTTCACATCCTCCTCCTTCGACGCCCACAGCACCTCCGTCCACGTCTTCCCGCCCGTCTCGTCCTCCCGCAACACGCCGTCCAAGATGTGCGCGCGGAACGCGAGGAAGTGGTTGAGAAACTCCACGCCGTGATTCCGGATGTCGACCAAGACCCGGATGTCTAACCGATCGATGTCGTTGATGGAACGGAGCGTCAGCTGCACCGGTTTCGCGCACTGCTGCTGCTGTTGCTGCTGCGCGCTCCAGAACCAGCTGCGGCCACCCCCCCCGCCGCGGGCCGCCTCCACCACACACGCGAGGGCGTGACGGTGCGCCTGGATCGCCAGCTCCGTCATGGCCTCGGTCGCCTGATCGTGCGTGCGGATGATGATATCGAAATTCTTCAGCAGCGACCGCAGCACGACGATGATCGAATCCAGGTGCATGATGTAGTCCCGTCGCAGGGCCCGACCGGCCACGTTGCGCGCCGCGCCGGGGGCGGGGAGGTCCTCGATGCGGTGAGACGTGGTGCTCAAGGTGAAGCGGATCTTAGCGAGCATCAGGACTAGAAGGTCGGGCACGCGGCAGAAGGCGTCGATCTCGGTCGCCTGGGCGCGCGTGAGGGTGCCGAGGACGGTGAGCAGGTCGGCGTAGGTCTGGCGGGCGGAGGTCTCGGGCTCGGGGTCGGGGTCGGGGTCGGTCAAGGGCGCAGGGGGGAAGAGGCCGGTGCGGACCGAGAGGGTGCGCTGGGTGTGGGTCCACTGGCTGTGGATGTGCTTGAGGGATTGGATCTGGGGGTGTTAGTAGGGGGGGGAAGGGGGGGGGTGTTAGTAAGGGAGGGGGAGGGGGGGGGAGAGGGAAGGGATAAGGAGAGGGATAGGGAGAAGGATGGGAGAGAGGATGGAAGGATAAGGGGTAAGGGATAAGGAGAGGGGATAGAAGAGGAAAAGAGGAAGGGGGCAAGTGAATGGGTGAATGAGTGGTGAGTGGTGAGTGGTGAGTGCTGATCCTGCCGGCTGAGAATGACCGACGCTCCGATAAAAACAACGACTTACCGTCCGCGCGACTTCCGCCTCCTTCTCGATAATCTTCACCCACTGCTCGTTACTCCGAAACAGGCGGTCGAACACGGCCTCGTTCCGATCCACGTCTCGACTCAGCGGCGCCGTCTCTTTCCACTCTTCCTTCGCCGTCTGGGCCTCTTCGACGCGCACGACGCAAATGCCTAGATCCAGGCCTAAAAAGGATCCTTGCAGCGGCAGGACGGGACACACGCTGCGGCGCGTCCAGCGGGTAAAGCCGCCCATCTGGTAGCCGATGCCCGTCCACCCGAGCGCGCGCAGCATGAGGGTCACGGCCGGGCGGGGCGACGCTTCGATCGCTTGTCCGACGTAGATGGCGCCGGACAGCATCACGATGCAGCAGAAGAGGATGACCAAAAGGCCCCAGAGCCGGTAGGAGACGAGGCCGAGGGAGGTGAGGGCTAGGTTGAAGCCGGCGTAGATGAGGCCGAAGATGGCGCGGCTGACGGAGGTGGTGATGGCGAATGCGGTTGCTAGGAGGGCGTGGCCGTCGTGGAGGCCGGCTATGATGCTCGCGAAGGGGGGCGGATCGGATGAGGAGTCGGGTTGGGCTGGGGTAGAGGACTCGGGTTGGGTTGGAGGTGAGGATCCGGGTTGGGTTAAGGATGAGGATCCGGGTCGGGTTGGGGGTGAAGCTTCGGATGAAAGAGTCGTATGGTCGTAATACCGCTTCCAAAAAGCCGTAATAAAACCCGGCATCCATCGCTGTCCTTGTTCTCTTCGCTGCCGCAGCAGCAACAGCCGCTCTCGCTCTCGTTCCTCCCGTTGCTCTTCTCGTCCCCGTCGTTCCAACCGCCTCTTCTCCTTCTCCTTCTCCTTCTCCCTCTCCCTCCCCCCTCTCCCCTCCACCGCCTCCTTCTCCCTCTCCTTCTCCTTCCCCTTCGCTCTCCCTCTTCCTCTCCCCACTCCTCTCCCCCTTCCTACTCCTCTCGCTACTCCCCTCGCTACTCCCCTCTCTCCTTCTCTTCCATCCATACTTTGAGCTTGAGCTTGTGCTTGAGTTTGACTTTGTCCTTGAGCTTGAGCTTGTCCTTGATCCATAGCTGCTTCTGCTGGTGCTTCTGCTTTTGCTTCACTCTCACTCTCACTCTCACTCTCACTTTCACTCTCACTCTCACTCTCACTCTCACCTTCTCCTTCCCCTTCCCCCTCACCCTTCAAACTCAATCCCAATCCCAATCCCAATCCCGAACTCAATCCCAACAGCGCCTTCAAAAACTGCGTCAGCCAGATGCTAGTGCTAGTGCTATCGCTTCGGCTATCGCTGGTGCTATCCCTTCGCCTATCCCTTCGCCTATTACCAGTATTATTATTACTACGGCTTTGCTCGGAAAAGTGATAGGATCGAGATCCGGATCGAGCGAAGTGATAAGCTTGCTGCTGAAGAGGGTAGAGCCGGGCGAAAGGTTGGTGGTGAAGTTGGCTATGGGCGTTAGAGTTGGAATCTCGAGCGAGGCGGCGCGCGAAGGCGAAAGCGAGGGGTTGGGCTCGGGCTTGGGCTTGGGATTGGGATTGAGGTTGGGATTCGAGGGCGAGGGCGAGGGCTTGTTGCTGCTGGTGGTGGTGGTGAAGATGCTGGTGCTGGTGGTGGTGGTGCTGGTGGTAGGAGGGGGGTTGGTAAGGTGTTGATTCGCTTGAAGATATTAGTACGATTTCGGATGAAGGTACGACTTCGACTTTAAATGAAAATAAAGATGAAGGCAAAGATGAAGATGAAGCTAAAAGCAAAGGCAAAGCTGACCTAGACCTAGACCCAGCCGCAGACGCAACACAAGCTGAAGCTGAATTGGTCGGAGAAGCGGAAGTAGCCGGAGAAGCTGAACCAGAATGCAAATCTAGCAGCTGCTGCAGTTCGGTCTTGGTTTGCTGGCGTTGGAGGTGGCGCTGGCGGTTGAGTTTGAGTTGGAGGTGGGGGTTGGGGTGGCGTTGGGGGTTGGGGTTGAGGGGGGGGGTTGAGGTGGAGGGGGGGGTTGAGGGGGGCGCTGGGTTGAAGGGGGGAGAGGGAGGGTTTGGAAATGGAGGGGGAGGGAGGAGATGGGAGGGGGGAGATGGGGGTGAAGGTGTTGGTGCTTGTGTTGGTGCTTGCGCTTCTGTTGTTGCTTGTGCTTGTGCTTGTGCTTCTGCTTGTGCTTCTGCTTCTGCTTGTGCTTGTGTTGTTGTCGCTTGTGTTGTTGATTGAAGTAAAGGTTGAGAAGGAGGGGGCATGTTTTTTCTTTCGAGGTTTAGAGTTGAGGTTAGGGATGGGTGTGGGTGGGTGTGGTTGGGGGTTTTATTCTTGTGATAGTAGAAGAGGGTGAAGGAGAGGGGGGAAGAGGGATAAAGGAAAAGGGGAAAGATGGAAAGGGAAGGGGAAGGAAGAGGAAGAGGAAGAGGAATAAGGGGGAATGGAATGGAATGGGATCTCGGTTGCCTTGAGACTCTGAGAAGATATTGAAAGAGATTGGTTGCTTTGAGGAGATGGATGAGATAGGATAGGATGAGATAAGATAGGATGTTGAAAGAAACTGGTTGCCTTGAGAAGATGTTGAAAGAGATTGGTTGCCTTGAGGAGATAGATAAGATAAAATAGGATGTTGAAAGAGACTGGTTGCCTTGAGAGGATGTTGGAAAAGACTGGTTGCCTTGAGAAGATAGACAAAGGAGGAATGAATGTTTGAGTTGGTTAAGATACTCGGGCTTAAAATAGGTAGCCGAGTATTGAAAGAAAGAGGTTGCCTTGAGGTTTGAGGTTTAGAAGGATGAATAGATGAAGGAGGGAATAGGTAGAAGGATTAAGATGGTTAGGTTGGGATAGCGAGGGAGGTTGCTTTGTAAGGATGAAGGGGTAAGTGGAAGGGATGTTTGAAGTGTTTTGGTTTGGGATGTCGAGGCTGCTTTAAAAGAATAAATGATTTAGCTGTCGAAGCTGCTTTAAGAGAATGGATGATTAAGCTGTCGAGGCTGCTTTGAAAGGATGTTTGAGGTGTTTTGGTTTAGGATGTCGAGGCTGCTTT